GGTCTCCAAGACAGCAAATCACACTGAAGAAGAGTGCTGATCCTTCTCCTGAAGAGCCAGTAGTGGATTTGAACTGCCAGATAGGCCCCGCCTTTGGGTTACCAGAACAACTCCTTCTGGCCTATCAAAGCTCCTTGATTAAGGAGGAAGTGTCTGATAAACAGTAATCCTGTGGTATGAGGGAAAGAGGCACAGGAAAGACAAACAGGATACGCTCAGGACATGTTTGACCTGGTTACTGTCCCTTTTCCTCTGGTCTGTCATGCCACCATTCTGTCAATACATATTTATTAAATAAAAGATTTAGGGAGAAGGTATCACCTTCCTTCTTTTTCCTATCAGGATAGAGCCAATCCGAGTTGTTACTGTTCTCTTCTACTACTCATTGTATGTAATAAGTCCATATGAAAATCTTGAGTATCATTTTTATCATTAATTGGATGAATCTTAGGTTTTTGGTTGGAGGATAGGTTTGGATAAATTTTGGGGAGTGGTTCCCTGCAGTAGTCCATTGGGATTTGTTGATCAAGTCCCTTTAGCTACAGTGGTTTGGATATGTGCCATCCAGAAAACACATACCATAAAATATGTAAAGAACAGGCAAATAAATGAAATTTTGCAAATGCCTAAACAATTGGTGATAAAGCAATTCTTCTTAAAAACTGGGTACATTAATGAGCATCTATTTTGTGCATATTGAGCACATTCTAACTCTAATAGACTAGTGGATGTTGTTGTTGTTGTTATGTGCCGTCGAGTCTCCTGCGACTCATAGTGACCCTAGTGGATAGAGAGTTCCAATGCCATCCCAAACGGGAATGGTTCAAATCTATCAGGTGCTTCACGGAAGAAAGATGGGCAGTCTGCTTTTGTGAGATTTACAGTGTCTGAAAACCCACTGGAAGGCCAGCTCTGAATCACTTCGGACTGGATAGTAGAGTTAAATTGAGTTTGTTGTTGTTGTTGTTATGTGCCATCGAGTCGTTTCCGACTCATAGCAACCCTATGCACAAGAGCCCTAAACCCTGCTCTATCCTGCGCCAACCGCACCGCCTCTGACACACCCATCCCGATTACCCCAGTCA